CAAAGAATCAGTACAACTTCCTAGAACTCCCTTACAATTTAAGACAGTAGCATTCAACTGTAGTCTCTGATGACTTATAACAGATACAAAGAATCAGTACAACTTCCTAGAACTCCCTTACAATTTAAGACAGTAGCATTCATCATCAGAGACTACAGCTTATAAGACAAAATATAAAGACCGCAGTCACAGAGGTCACCAGATGTTGGCTTACCGAAATGTAAAACAGAAGGTCGAAGGCTCGAGTCGTGGTATTTTGTTAAATACGTTTTACACTTTCGGCTGAGGGTCATGGGCGTCCGCGGGGGGCACTTGCCTCCCTGTAAAATGAGAAACGTAATTCTCTCTTTATTCATTCAGCATATGTATATGAATTGTTTATTTAATTCACAATTTCACACTTCTCCCCCCCCCCCGGAAAACTTTGCCCCTCTTTGGAAACATTTCTGCGGACGCCCATGCTCAGAGGCATCTTATAAAAATTAGACTTTCTGTCGCTATTCGGTACCGCATAGGCGACGGGAGCTACTGACTGGTTGTCTTTCTTCTGAATCAAAAAGTTTTGTTTTAAAAACAGCTATAGCTGGGCCTTACATGTCGTATAATGTGCTGTTCAAATTGCAAATACCAAACAGTCTTCTGCAACTATAAGTCAATCAGACAACAATCCAAAATATAATTGTTTTGTATGATTATTCACTAATGTCTTCAAAATTAATGTTTGCAATTTCTACAGTTTGAAATTATTGAGATCAAATTATTCATAGCAAGCAGAAAAAAAAAATAACACTAAAAATTTCGCTTCAACTCTTTGCATGCACAGCCTTCTTTATAGTCTGGACCTTAGAATATTACACATTTTACTCCGATGTAAGATTTAGAGAGGCTGTTCACGTCGAGGTATTAAAAGACAAATAACCAGCACAAAGTCTCGTTCTAGAGCTGAACTATTACACCTGAGTACATCCTACATACGCGGGAAATGGTTTTTACCTTTACCACATTTTCTAAGCTATCACGAGAATTCAAAACCCAAATACTATGTCCTTTCTCCATCTATCTACTTTGAATAACGTTTACTCGCCAGTCTCGTTCTAGAGCTGAACTATTACACCTGAGTACATCCTACATACGCGGGAAATGGTTTTTACCTTTACCACTATTTTCTAAGCTAGCACGAGAGTTCAAAACCCAATACTAATGTCCTTTCTCCATCTATCTACTTTGAATAACATTTACTCGCCAGTCTCGTTCTAGAGCTGAACTATTACACCTGAGCACATCCTACATACGCGGGAAATGGTTTTACCTTTACCACATTTTCTAAGCTAGCACGAGAGTTCAAAACCCAAATACTATGTCCTTTCTCCATCTATCTACTTTGAATAACATTCTCGCCAGTCTCGTTCTAAGTTGTCATTCTATTTAAAACGCCTGGCTGTTTTCCTTCGAAACGTCCACGCTGTAAAACGTGCAAATAAATACAACCCTCGTATTATAAAATATTGTCACAAGAGTGCGCAAGAACAAATTACATGTGCGATCATGGAGAAACTGAAAACAACAAAAACACTTAATACTCGTATTAGTAAATACCCGTTCGGATATAATATTGAAACATAGCAAACTATCTGTTCCCGAACACTTCCACAGCAACAGACACGAGTTGAAAGATCTACTTGTTTTTTTTACTACAAATGGCAAAAGGTATCATGACTAGGTTGTTTAGGAGGCTGTGTGAATAACACTACTTAGCACCCTGTCACCAGATGGTCCCACTAGAGAGTTTTATACTGCTATTCACTTACTTTCTGATATAATATTTCACAAAAAATAAGGTATCTGGTTTGTTGTTTTTTTCTTCTTCAAATTTTCACTACTAGATATTTATATAATGTTCAGTGTGTTGTTTTTGAATGCTTCTGAAGTAACCCTGTTATCAGCCTGAAAACTGAGGCTCAAATAAAGTTCACATTCTTCATGTTATTTAATCTCATGTGTTCCATAATTGTAACAGATTATCTAATACAACACACTTGTATATTCTGCATTTTTACTTCAAGTAAGGTTATAATCATTTAGATCATCGGTTCTCAAACTTTAGTAACCCGAGGACCCCTTTAATTAAAAAAGTTTTCGCGGACCCAAACCTATCGATGTTTTTGGTTCTGGAAAAAAAAAAAGGTTCCATTCACATGAAAGCTATATTCCAAAATTAAATGTTTTTATTCATATATAAATTTAATTTTAAGAAAAGTATTTTTTATTCTATACATCGAATTTATTTAAGTATTTTATGAAATCTCTGACCCCTGGAGTACCCGCGCGGACTACAGTTTGAGAAACGCTGGTTTAAATGTTTAAATAATTTTGTAAATAAGAGTGAATCTCGAATCACTACATCACGCGATTGACCTTTCTCCCCCTCTCTCTCAAACACAAAAAAGTTTTGAAATATTCGGATATCAGGAGAAACCGAATATACTATTACGACAGCGGAAGTCACGCGACGCTGGGAGCATGTGCGCTGGAGTTTCTCGTAGGATCATGAATTTGCCCGCCAGCTCGAATGTGATCTAGATGCTCTCTTTTTTTTATATATATATAAGCCTGGCAAAAAAAGCCAGCGGCAGATAGATAATTGAATCAATCAAACAGTAAGCACAGTTAGTAAAGTGTGTGAATCACTGTGATTTATAGCGTGTGTTATAAAGGTTGTTATAAGTTTAAAGTGTCTGTGGAAATTCTGTGTATTACAAAGTTGCATCGAGAAAGAATAAACTAGTTTTAATCATAAAGGGACTTGTATCGCTGAAGTTCCTCAGATAGAATTTATACCGGAAATTAACAAACAATCAGATAGCAACAAATTGATGTTAGAAGTGAAATGAAAAATAAAGAAGATTGAAATGAGAAGTGGCAAATCAAACTACAGCTTAGCATATTTGATGGCAGCAATACAAGAACAGCAAAAGAAACAAGAAAAAC